GTGTGGTGTGGTGTGGTGTGGTGTGGTGTGGTGTGGTGTGGTGTGGTGACAACCGCCATAATAAAAAGAGGGTGGGGGGACAACCATTTCTATTCTCTGCCTCCTAACAGTAAGGGCAAGTTCACATTTGGATATTATTATAAAGTCCCAGGTCGCTTGCCAGGTCCTGGGTCCAGAAATGTGCTGGCTTCCCCAACTCCTCTTCTTGGCCTTGGTGTGAAGCCTCCAGCACCTTCCAGTGTTTGCCCTGCGCCTGGCTGCCCTCCCTCGTGCTATGCCCCCACATTCCCTGCCTTCCACAGTGAATGCTCAGCCAGATGGACTCACTTATCATCTCCTGGTCATTAGTCATGTGTCTGACGCAGGATGCAGCACCCCCTTAGATAAACCAAAAGAGTAAAAAGAGGAAAATATTTAAAAGGAGGCTGGGTGGGCTGGAGAGCTGGCTCAAACATTAGGGACACTTCCTATTCTTGTAGAGGACCCAGGTCCGATTCTCAGCACACATAGTGGTAGTCCACACTGCCTGCAGTTCCAGGTCCAGGATACCCGACACTCTCTTCTGGCCTCTGAAGGCACTATGTGCACTTGGAACACAAACATACATGCAGGAAAAACATTCATGCACATAAAATAAATAAGTCTAAGAAAAAAATTGAAGAGGCTGGGGGCTGATGAAAACTTCATTTATTGAAGTAATAATCTTGCTAGGTTTTGTGCTTCTATACTAAAAGAACATGTCTGTGTGCCCAGTGTTTGTTTCCTGTTGGGTTTGAGAGCTGGCTGTTGCTGGTTTGAGGGATGGGGCCTCACATACTTCAAGCTGACCTCCATCTGTGTGACTCAGCTGGTCCAGAACTCTTGATCCTCCCGCTTCTGCTTCCAGATGCTGGGAGGACAGGCTGCACCACGGCAGCCCACACAAGCTCACTCTCTAACACGGTGCTTCTCGACCTCCCTATTGCCACAACCCTCTGCAGTTCCTCACGTTGTGGGGACCCCCAATCATAAAACTATTTTCATTGCTACCTCAAAACTGTAATTTTGCTACTGCTATGAAGTATCATGCAAATATCTGTATTTTCTGATAATCTTAGGCAACCCCTATGAAAAAGTGGTTCGTCCCCCAACTCCAAAAAGGACCGCCACCCACTGGTTGAGAACTCAATGGGAGAGGCAATGCCAGATCCCAGTGGGGTCAGTGGCATCCAGGACACTCTGCATGATAGTTAGCCTGTCTTTGGGAGCTCAAGGGGCAGCAAAAAAGGGAGACCAGGGCTCCCGTTTGGGAGGCAGAAGCATAGCAGGGAGAATAACTTGAAGTGAACCAAACAGGAAAAGTCCAACATCCTCAAATGTGGGGAAATGTTTCCTGGTGGCTGAAGAATAATGTTACACAGAGAATGGCATGAAGGGAGATGGAGCAGGCGGCCACACTCCAGGGAATCTGAGGCCTTCTTTAGCACTGGGAGAATCGAATTATCCTGAGGTAGCCTGCTAGAAAGTCCTTAGTAGAACACGGCATAGTCGCACACGCCCACGGTCCCAGCATTTGACATACAGCGGCAGGATGACAGAGACGTCCAGTTCAGTCAGATGATGGGACGTCCTTGGGTGGCAGAGGCATGGGGAGATTGGAGTATTTGGATCCTAGATTTTGCATTTCTTATTCTCATTAGCACTGTCTTTCGGGGAACAAGCAAGACAGAATTCCTCTCCTGGAAGCTCTTGGTGTCCAGGAGGGCAATGTGAGCTGGTGAATCTTGCCAGCACTACCCACTGAGTTGGCAGCCCAGCTTGCAGCCAAAACATTGGCCTTGGCCTGGGCATGGGAAGACAGTTCAGCCACTAAAGTGCTTCTGGCTTAAGCATGAGAGCCGGAAGTGCCAGGCAGGTGGGGTAACCTGCCTGTGATCTCAGCTCCAGGGAGGCAGACACAGGAGATCCCGGAGCAAGCTGGCCAGCCAGACAAGCTGAACTGGTGAGCTCTGGGTTCAACTGAGAGACCTTGCCTCAACAAATAAGGACAAGGATCTAGAAAGATTCCTGACCTCCACCTCTGGCCTTTACGTGTACCCATGCATGCACACATGTACCCACACACTTAGGAACACACATACACACAGAAAACAAAACAAACACCTTGGCCTTCTGGTCCTGTTGTGGAGCTGCAAGTGTAGGGGACTGGCCAGGGCAAAATGGAGCTGACTAGGAAAGGGATGAACCACTAGGATCTGGGATCAAGCATTTTACAAAGGAAGAGAAGGCCAACAAAGCCAGCAGGGGTGCAGATCACATGGGAAGTGGGGTGGGACTGGAAAGGTAAGTTGGGGCCAAATGACAAAGAGCCTTTGACAAGCTTCTGGGAATCAGAAGACTCATGAAGGTGATGGTGTGGAAACATGAAGAAGGAAGAAGCCATGGCTTCCCTGGTTTGTAACATGGGAAAGCCAGGAGCTTTCTACTCCTTCCCAGGCCATCACAGGGTGGGGAAAATGGGACAGGTGCAACAGAGGCAAAGCAGGGGATGTCTCCAAACTATCCTTGGAAACCCTAATCAAACCCCCGGCCAGCCTGGAGTCACCTACTCAGTGAAGTCTCCAAAGATTAAAAAACCTCGAGAAGAAACCTGAAAATAATTCTCAGGCAAGGGAAGGAAGTTAGCAGACTGAGGTCACAAGTCAGTAAATGACAAAGACCCACAACCTGGTGCGGAACCCAGACCTCAGAATCTGTGCTCATTCCCATCCCCTGGCTTGCATCTGTTTCTGCAGGTGAGTGGCGCCCCTCTATAAGGCCAAACTCCCCAGCCAGCCAGACTGCCTCCAGCAACTGGGGACACAAAGCCTGAGAGACAGGGAGGATCAGATGGCATGGCCTGGTCCCCAAGGGGAGTGCCTTGCAGGGAGGGTGCCCAGCCCTTGTCTTATTTTAAGTAGAGCCCCATGCTGAATCTGTTTCAGGATGATGAGGGTGGAGAAGGCCGCTTCAACTTCTCCGCCTACGGGATGGGCCCAGCCTGTCTGCAGGCCAAGGATGGCATCTCTGTCAAGGGTGCCAACAACAATAACACCACCAACCCCCCACCTGCACCGTCCAAGTCCCCGGAGGAGATGCGGAAACTCTTCATCCAAAGAGCCAAGAAGATCGACAAGATATCGCGCATCGGTTTCCCCATGGCCTTCCTAATCTTCAACATGTTCTACTGGATCATCTACAAGATCGTTCGAAGAGAGGATGTCCACAACAAGTGATGGGTGGGGAGGGGGGGGTGGGAGAGGGTGGTGGGAGGAGCACAGAGGCTGGGAACCAGGGGAGGAGGGAGAGGGGGAGAGCGCACACCCATCTCCCTCCAAGTGCAATAGAAACCACAGGGGTGGATACTTCCAGGGTATGGCAATATTCATCTAGCCTCCAAGGGCATGAGGTGGTGGGGGAGCCTTTTCATGAGGGTTAGGGTGGGGGTCAGGGAGGGGGATTGGGGAATCACAGCTTTCAAAATTCAAGTCCATGGCGGGGGGAGTCTCCTGTTTGGAGGTCAGTGCTGCCTGCCCCAGAGCAGGAAAGCAGTGTAATATATGACATATAACTATGCTTAACATTAATGCAAAACCCATGAGAACAAAAGATGCGTCTTTTAAATCAGCCTAGTAACTGCTTAAACTTTTAAAGTCCCCAAAGTGATGGACAACTTCTCCCAGAGTAGAAATGGCCACTAACCAGCTTGCTGTGGTATGTGCCCACATCACGCCCTTACAAATGACATGTGGATCTTCAAGCTGACCCCCGTGGACACATGCCAAAAAGCCACTTCACCTCTGCTTCAAGAGGGTCACGTGACACAGGCGTAGGTCATGGAGATGGATAAAGATGGACCAACAGCAGGAAGTGACCGAGGAGAAGGACCATTGCAGAAGCCTGAGGGTGGAGAATCCAGGAACCCCCACAGGGCGCCAAGCTTGCTCCTCTTGCTTCTGCGCTTCAATGCCAGCCCAACTCAGCGCCAGCCCTATGGCCACCATGGTCTTCTCGTTGTATTACCAATATGCAATCTTTTTTATTGTTGAAAAAAGTAATAATCTCAAGAAATAATATGGGGAGAAACTGAGTGGAAACCCATGAACTTTTTTCCAAATGTCTATTTTTTTGGAGAGTCTCTTTGGGACTGCAAGCAGGTGTGTTCTGGGAATGTGGACCTGGCTGAAACAGGTCCCAAATGCCAGGTGGGAATCAAGTTTGAAGAGGTGAAAGGGGGGGTCGCCGATGCTGCTGTCGCCCATTCTATGTGTGGGTGGGAAGAGACCATGATATTTAGAAAGTCCATTCATTATATTTTGACATTTCATAGATCATAACTTGGGAAGTTTGGGGGAATGACCCCATTATATTTTTATAAGTCTTTTTTTTAAGATGCTTTGCACAGCTTTAACACGTAGGAAAGTTAGACAAATATTTCTCTTTCCTTCTAACTCTGAAGTGCCAGAATGGTCCCAGCCTAGCCAGGGCACTCCAGGGAAAGTGACAGGGACTGTGATGAGCTGAACTGGAAGCGAGAGTCCTCCTGGCCGATCTGGATATGCACAGAACCACTGTACCCATGGCACGAAGCCTGTCCCAGGCCTGCGCTCCATGGCTAGGCCCCAGGAGTGGCACTTCTGTCCTTGCACTTTACTGGCTTGGCCTTGGGTCAGAGTTATAGGCAGGATAGAGATTGATCTCTGACAATCAGTCGGGCGCTTCGCTTGTATCCTTCAAGCTAGGGAGCTCAAGGGCAGGATGGAGGGGTGGGAGTGAAGAGATGATGTCCACTTGTCCCCTACCATGCACTTTCCCTGGGGAGTTTTCCTCCTTTCCTTGTGGCATTGAAGCTAGTACCAAGATGGGTCTAAAATAGATGAAGCCAAGACAAAGACCAATCGCTCTGAGTGAAGAAGATGCACTACGCAGCCAAGAGGATGAGACTGACTGCTGGCGCTCCTCCAGGTCTAAAGTCAGCCGGCCTGAGCCTTCCCTCCTCTTGGACTGTACCATCCAAAAGGACAATCCACGTTCCGGCTCAGGGTGAGGGGGCACAGGACCTTTGTTTAGGGGAAATCTTGAGCAGTAGGAGCCCCGTGAGTGGGTGACTCTCATCTGAGGTCTGTCTTTTCCCACCCTAAAAATGTTCAAAGCAGGAAACATGAAGACGGCCTTGAATAGTTCAGGATGAAGATGCCAGTGTATGGTGCTGTGAGCATCTTCCTCGGCACAAGAGGAGGAATCTTGTCGCTCCAAGGCTGCGCATCTTAGGAGAGGCTGCAATTAGCCCTCTCCAGAGGCACTTTATTCTCTTTGTTTAGGTAACTAACATCTGTGATGGAAAATAATCAACGGAGCCCTCTCCTTACTGTGACTCCAGTCTAGGTGAATAGGGTGACCACGGGAACATCGGAATCTATGCTGAGTCACATCTCTCACACAAAACCACCCAGCACCTTCCAAAATGGTCTCCATGGCAAGCATCTGGAGTCACCCTGAGACAGAGAAATCAATGGACCATTTTCCCAGTCTCAACTGGGGTCCTGGGTCCCTGTGTCATCATTTTGGAGTGGTCCATTGTGAGCTGCCTGACCTGGGTGCCAAATCCAACAAGCCATGGGCTCACGTCTTTGAGCCATACTGGCGAATGTCACTGAAGCCCTTCAGACTATAAGCAAAGAGACAGCTTGAGTCAAGCCCACGGTTAATACACAGAGTGCTCTTGGGTACATGTGCAAACTTTGGTCTCTCTGAATGCACAGTGGGGAGAGTGGGATGGCATCTGAACTCTCCCTGCCTCTACCTGCCGTGACTCTCTGCTTACACTGGGGGTCTTCGCCCAGCCTAAAGCCCAGTCTAAATCAATCGTTTTGATTTCTCAGGGCTCGGTGCAAGCATGTAGGTTTATGCACAGGTGCACTGACCAGCACAATTCCTGTTGCTGCTTCTCTTTGTCAGGAAATCTGCAAATTTGTTTCTCCTCTTTTAATCAAAACCCAAAAGAAGAGGAAAAGAGAAGGGAAGGAAGGAGGGAAGGGAAAGAAGGAAGGGATTTGAACTACATAAGTTAAGTCAAAGCTTTCAGGTGATCCCAATAAACAGGGCAAGGCTTTCCTAGTTCCTCTTCAGGCTGAGCACAAATGCCTTATGCCCTGAGATTACAGGTGAAAAACGGATGGTTCCGTATATGGAGATCTGATGTCCGTGCAGAGAATACCGCACTGGTTTTGAAGCTCCTCTTCAGTACAGACTGACACTCGTGCATAGTGTGAGCCTTGGAAAGGGGCGCAGAGGAGTGGATGACTTCAACTCACCTCCAGAGCTGTTTATTCTAGGAGCCAGGTGGGGACACCAACTGCCGCTCACCCTGCTAGCTTCAGGGAGTCCACTGTTTTGAGAAATAAACGGCTCCACTCCGCCCTCTTCTGGAATTTCCTAGCACCTGCAAGACCCTTCTTGGCAAAGGCAATAATGGAAAATGTGAGATTGTGTGTGTGTGTGTGTGTGTGTGTGTGTGTGTGTGTGTGTGTGTGTGTGACAGAAAGAGAGAGAGAGAGAGAGAGAGAGAGAGAGAGAGAGAGAGAGATCTATTTTTCTATTAACTCCAGAAGAAAAAAGGAAGTTTCACCCTAATTATTTCCTCTTCTAAACTATCAATAATAGGAAAGTAATTCCTTTCAGAAGTGTAACAATATTTTCCATAGCTTTTTTTTCACACTTGGGAGACAAACAAGAAGGCTGGTTCACTTCCTCCAGTACGTGCATCTTTACGAGCATCATAAAAAGAAGTAATGTCTTGCAAGGCGCCATGACGTAAGACTGCAGGGAAGCTTGGCTCTCCAGTCAAGGTGATACTGCCACTGATAATGGTCTTCTGTCTTACTTGATTGCGACATGCTGAAGCCAAAGGGGGTTGTCACACCCCCGGCAGTGACTGCATCCTTCGGAGAAGATGACAAGCAGAGTGTATCCTCTTCAGGGCTCGGCGAGTCAGAGTCTTTTCCCAGTCAGACTGGAAGCCCAGTTCAGAATGATGAACACCACAGTAGAAGCTATCAGTATCTATTTCAGGAACAGCTCCGGCACTTTCCACCCACCCTTTACTCTGCCCAGGCAGGTGAGGCTGGATTTTCCCAGGCTGTTTCTTGGATTGGTAAGTGGCCAATAAGTCTCTGAAGGGGTGAATGACTTTTACCCAATGAATCAGCTGGAAAAAGATGCCTCCACCCAAGCAAGCAGGAAGCACATTCTTTAAATAGAATAAGGATTCTGTTTTCTACTTCAGCAGTCTGAAGCGAGAGCCGCTTTCTTTTTATCTAGTTCTAGGAAACAGTAGCAACAGTCTATGACAAGAGAGGAGAGAATGTGCCTTGCTCAACTGGCTCAACCATGAGAACTCTGTCTGTGCGAGGAAAACGTGCATCCTGGCAAGGGTTTAGTCTGCTGTACTCTGACATCCCAGTAGCAGAGAGGACATCCTTGAGTGGGTCGAAATCCCCAGGGAAATGAAAAACTCTCCATTGGAAGTGCACTTGCCTGATGTGTGGACTGGCGAAAAGGGGAGACAGACAAAGGGTGAGTGATGGACAACAGTGTAGGTTTTTATCGGGGAGAGAAACCTTCAAAGGAGGGGTCTAGTATAGGAGGCTGGGGTACTTACAGAGAAGAAGGGAAGGGGACTCACCCGACACCCTCTGAAAACTCTCTCAACCCACCCATAGCTTCCCTAAGCGGTGTGACTCCAAAGCCTAGAGCACCTTTAACACCCACTCAAGATGAAGCACCCACAGCACACAGGGAGTCAGCAGAGTCAAAGATAGCTAGCCCAAGACAGAGCCCGACAGAGGGTATCCAGGCCTGGTCCCCAGAGGACGGGGAACTGAGGTTTGAGACTGGCTGGTGTCCATTTATCTCTTCCATGTATGTATTTTTTAACCTTCAACAAATTGTTTCACTTCCCGAAAACTTGAAGGAACCTTAACTTTCCAAACTGTTGATGAGCATAAAATTGAGGAAATGAAATGGTCAATGTTTTTGTTATTAAAAGTAGAATATAGATGAGGTACTGCACTAAAATGCATCTAAGAGCTACAGATCAAAAGTACGGATGTTTCTGTGTAAGTCCATCCCAGCATACAAATGGTTAACATCCTAGCTACCTCTCAAATGCTGGTGAATACCATCTTTGACTAGATTAGAGATCAAAGATCTTGATCAAAAGCCAATGTTCTGTGATGGTGGCGCACGTCTTTAATCCCAGCACTCAGGAGGTAGAGGCAGGTGGATCTCTGTGGATCTGAGGCCAGTCTGGTCTACAAATTGAGTTCCAAGACACCTAGGGCTACCCAGAGAAACCCTGTCTCAAAACGCAAACAAAAAAGCCAATGTCCACTGTTCTTTGTCTCAAAATGTAGTCATGAACATCATAAACCCACTAACCCAACTTCAAGGTTAATAATCTACTACGACAGCTTGATACACAGGGGACTTAGCTGAGGTGAAGCCACTGAGTGGCTACTGAAGTTTGAAGACAAAGAGGAGTGAGCCCAAGAGCAGATGAGAATCTGCTGTTTGGGGGATAGGACCACGTTCCTTACTTGTGGTCCTGCAGAGGGTGGAAGCCTTGTGTCAAGAAGGTTTAGACTTGGCTGGAGTGAAGAGTTAGGACAAGAGCTTTCCAAAGCCTAGAATTCCTTTAACATCCGCTCAAGGTGAAGAAGAACGAAAGGCACAGGAGCCAAAGATAAGCATCGTCTCTAAGGGCCGGCCTTGAAATTGAGCAGGGTGAGCCCTGGTGTGACTGTGAATAATTCGGGGGAGGGATGCAGGGACCAGAGGCACCTCGCTCTTGGGGTGCTCAAGGGTTCTGAGCCCAAATTATGAGACTATGTTCATGGCAACTATTTACCATTTGGTGGTCTCACCCACCTGTTAAGCAGTTAAATGCTTACCCTGTGGGGCAGCTGCCCAGCTACTTCTCCCAAGCAGGTGTTTGAGGGAAAAAGGAGCCGTCTTCAGATAAGCACCAACTGAAACAGAAATACCGATCAGATCAATGTTCCAGGAAAGAGGGGGTGTCCAGTAGCTCTTCTCTGTCATCCCAGATCTAGAAATGAAAGGGAAAATTAAATTAGAAGAGAAAACATATAGATAGTCAAATCCCCCCTCAGCACAAAACAAGAACCCTAAGCACTAAATAGATGCTTGTCTCTGGATCCCCTTGTTCTTGAACTAACTGTCCAGAAGGCAATTTGATGTGTGCAACACCCCGGGCAGTCCATCTCCCTGTTCAAGGTCTCTCCTGCTGTTTCCCAGAATTTGCCTAGCCTCGGCTGTAGCTCCACCCCAAAACCAGGGTGTTGGCTGGCTAGCTGTAGCAGTAATATACCCAGGAACATATTAGCTTCTTTCCTGAGGGCCCCCAGATCATCCGTGTAATGAGGACAGTTTCACTCTGAGTGGACTCTAGCGAAGGCCAAGTCTGACTCCATATGAAGATTACCTACTTGCCTTTGAATGTTTCAGTCTGAACAAAACAACTTAACCTAACTGGGCCAGAGAATTCTCTAATAGCATCAAGTGTCACAGCCAAGACTAGACTATAACCACATGGGACTTTATAAACAGAAGTATTCCCAGTTTTTCTGTGATTTTTTTCCCTACATCTGCTATATTAAGTCTGGAAGTGACATGCTATGAAAGCTGAGCATCCAAATAAAGCCACGTGGCAGGCAATGACTGAAGCCCCCAAACAGTCACTAGCATGGGAGAGAGAGGATGACACAAGGAAAGCAGACCGTGGTGTATTGGAAACCCAGCAAAGTTCTGATAGACAGGACAGGGCAGGCTCAAGCAGACTGAGCAAGTGCTGAGATCCAAGGATAAAATGGGGAGGGGAGGTCATGTAAGCATTGCTTGCAATTTCAGGTGAGGAGCAATGAGTTGGAGTCAGGTTAGGGGAGGTGTGGCTGTGCCTGTCAGGCATGCTTGCAGGAGATGTTACAGATCAGGGTTCATGAAGCAGTTTGGCAGGGCAAAGCCAAAAGACTCCATCTCCTTTCTGACCCCATGATATCCCCAGCTCATGATACATGAGCCTGCTTTGCTTTGATCTAGGAAGCATGTGAAGTAGTCACTGGGAGCCCACATCCTAAAGGTCATCAGTTCATCCCATTAAATGCTAAGGGTTTAAGCCAAAAAGACCCGGGAGCTATACAGGAGCTTGGGAGTCAGGCTTCTTTATATTGTAGGGTGTGTGTGTGTGTGTGTGTGTGTGTGTGTGTGTGTGGAGAGAGAGAGAGAGAAAGAGAGAGAGAGATGAGAGGTTGTTGTACCCAGTTTCTATGTGGTTCTGGGGATCCACATAGATCAGGTCCTTATGCTTGTACAGCAAGCACTTTATTGACTGAGCCACACCCCAGCCCTGAAAGTTACGGTTCTGTGTGGAGCTCACCATGAACACTGACTAGAAAAGGTTTTTCCATACGTCATGCACGCTGCCGACAGTGAAGTGTGTTCTGTGCCCCCTGCCCCGTTGGGACTTGGGATTGAACCCACAGCCTGTGGCATTCAAGACTAGTGCTCTACCGCCGAACCACATCCTCAGCAGTATACTGAAGGTGTTTCTAGAGCCGAGTTTGTGGTCCAGATATCACCTCGTTGTTGGTCTAACTGAAGGACAGACCTGGAGGACAAAGAGTCCAGCATGCTGTTCTCATTCTTAACTGCATCTAAAGAAAACACTCCCCACCCTAGAGAAGATTTATTCCAGGCACAAAATCAGACAAGGAAAAAAAAAATGGTATGAAGGAGAAAACACAGACAGGAACCAGATGCCGCGACGCCATCACAGGTGCAAATGCGCAGTGACACTGGTTTTCCTCAGGAATATGCTTCCTTCCCATGACCAATTGAGGAGGGGCATTTTGAGGGAGCGGTTCGGAGTATCTCCCTCAGGAGATATTGTCCCCAGGCCTTAGCTTGGGGGGCAGGGGATGACAGAAGCAGTTGGGTAGGTTAACGTTCTCCATGTTAGATGCATTTCTACCTCACATGAAAAGGCACTGTGCTCTCTGCACGCCAGTTTAGCCAGAGTAGTATCAATGGAGCTAAAAGTTGGATGAGATATACTGCACAACATTTTAAATCCATCCACTATCATGTCATAATGATTCCTTCTTCCGATGATGGAGCCATGATAATATCACCACTAACAAGTTCAAATGAGATGAATGAGCTAGACTCCCAAGGGGCTCATCTTGCTTCTTTCTCATGCTGGACACACGTACAATGCCTACTGCATGCTGGCATGCATACTCCCGATAACAGAGGGGTGAGGGGCATGTTCTCTCTCCCCCACCCCATTTAAGCAACCAGAGTTCTGCTTACAAGATATAGCAGGGGCCTCAGTAGCCTCAAAAAGAAGAAAAAAAAAAAAACTTGAAAACTGGACAAAATACATGTCTTCCGTTGCCATAGGCTTGGAATAAACAAAGTGAATCAGAGTGGCCAAGACAGCAGCTGTGGTGGTGCATGACCCCCAGCACACGGAGGTAGGGGCAGAAAGAT